GGACCAAGACAAAACATAGTGGTACTCATTCATACAACAGAAGACACCACGATAGTCCGTTAGTATCTCTAAAAATATATTTATCCCTGCAACACATCCCGAGGCCACCAAACTTGGCATCCCCGACCACCGCAAACCATCGTATGCAGCATCGCAGTAGGCGATGGTAGACGCGCACTACCTAGTGAGGCGGCCGAAGACCAGCGCATGATTAACTCGGCAACCAGCGCGCGGCCAACCCAAAGATAGCATGTAACCAACCCGGCGATAATGCAAGACCAACCCACGCGGCCAGCCACAACGACCCGGCATGGCGATCTATGGTGGTTGTCGAGGCGCACCTCCGACGATCAACAATCAGTTGTGGCGTGCACGGAGAAATGATAGGACAAGAATCCGATTGGTGTCAGAACCATTCGTCTGGCCCCGTAAGCTGTGTATGTCTGTACAAAGTCGACAAATTTTAAATTTTACGTTACGAATCCGATTGGTAGTTTCGTTGCGCGTAGGATTCATTTTTTATATTCTTAATCAATTCGAAGCACGATCAGCAAATGTTCTTCATAGAACCCAACAAATGGTACTAGATCCATGGTTAATTGGGTGATTGTTGTTTGTCCCATATTTGTGTCATTTTTAGTCATTATTTTACCATTCTTTTTCCCCCGTATTGAGTCGTTTAGGTGGTTTTAGGATCATTTTGTCATTTATTATGTGTTTTGCGTTCATTTGAGTGTTGCGGTGTTTTCCGTTTGTTTTTCGGTCTTTTTATGTTCTCTTTTTGAGAATCTTTTGGGGAAGCTGAGACCATTGGAAAGAGGGGCTCGTTAGCGACGCGTAGGAAAAAAATAAAACTCAATTCCGAGTCCGAACGAGCTCGAACGAGCAAAAACAAAGTCGACGCGCAAAGCTACCGAGACCAGCCCCGCGCGCGCGAGACTTTCTGTGCAGCACCCTCCGCGGTCGCGACCCACGCGTGAGACAGCTGCCCAAATCCATTTTTTCACGGTTTTTCTCGGTTTTGACCCCGGTTTTCGAGCACTATAAAGGTAGAATTATTCCGGGACTTAGGGACAGACCGGAGCAGGGCTAAAAACCCTCGCTCTAAAACTCTCCCTCTCCCTCTTCTTCTTCACTTTTTCTTCTTCTTTTTCTTCTTAATTTCTCCATATATTTTCATGTTTTCTTCTTCATCTTGCATTGGGATCAAGCTTATAATAAGGATTCAACTCTTGACTGAGGTTTATTGTAAGAATTTCTTCTATTTCAATTCATGAAAAATGGTTGTTTTTGGAGAAATAATTATGTGTGTTGAATTCCTTTTACGTAGCTAAATCCCATTTCTAGGGATAGGGGATTGATGTTCTGAATTCAATTGTGATTGTTGAGTTTGTTGATTATTCACTTCATGTGAGTTGTCTTGATTTGGATTTGATGAGATTGTGTTTGAATGATGAAAATTATTGAAGAAGTGACACTTCAATTTTCAATTACTTGTTGATTGGGGTTTGATTCATTCTTGCATATTTGTGTTGATCCCTTTGTTTAGATTGATTAAAAACCATCTAGGCTAATTAATTGACTCATTGAATCGAAAGAGGAGGAGTCGATAGACCATGGCTCATATGAAATTGGCTTGTTCGTAACTGTATGACTATATGGTTGCAAGGCTACAACTCATCCCAACCTCTAGTGGTCGGACGATTATTTTTTCAGAGGTGATTTGCGGGTGGCTTGCAGGTTGCAGCTCTGGCACGATGCGCTGGTTGTTCACATACACAGGAGAACAAGGTCTTGCACAAAATGAAACCTTCTTCGGTCAGAAAATTTCTCCTTCGACCGGTAAGGTTGTGGTGGTCGTCGGTGCCGACTAGTCTACGGTGCAACTCAACAACACTGGCCGATATGCCCATGATAGACGCCAGTCCACGGGCCGTGTGCTGGCTAGCTGGTTATTACACGAGTGGCTGGCTGGCTGGGTAATATCATATGTGTTGGCTTGCACATATGATATTTTATTGCAAACGTATATATTTTCATTTAAAAAAAGTACAACGGATCAATCTGCCTAATGGAGATTTCGTGTCATACAAAAATTTGTTGAACTAATATTTCAAATGTATTTAACCAATAAGTTTTATGATAAATTATTAATTAAATGAAATTACATCTAACTTAAGATATCACATGATATATAAATACAACTTGACTATAAAATAAATATATTTAGTAACAAATATTAGACACAAATGACCAAGTTCATACGTGTATATATGTGTGTAGATATATTTAATTTGACCAAACTTATAATATTATATTTTATCTGTATCATGCATTAGAGGGAACTTTAAGGTTTTGTAATAATGAACTTAAGACAATACATCTTATGTGATTCACTACACATTAATTGGTTGATATTTTACACAAGTTTTCAATCGTAATTTCTTGAGCATTAATTGTGACTTGACCACCAAAACTATTATTCATTATACATAATATGAAACCTTTAAGTTAAATCAATTTATTTCATAAGTGAAAAATAAATATAATTCACCCAAGAAATATTTCAATGTTTTTAAATTATTTTTTAAGATTATTCTTATCTAAATGAGATTGTATACCATACATCTGTAAAAGTTTATGAATAATAAAATAGTATCTGAATGATAAAATACAACAAAAATTTGACCAAAACTTGAATTTTAATATATCTTTATAACTCATGAAAATAACTATAGTTAATTAGATCAAGTAGAAAAACGCATATGAAAACTATGTCACTCAAAAAAAGAATGATAATATAAATAATATTTAAAAACTTTGCTAATTTATAACTTTATGTAGTCAATAAAAATAATGACAATAAATGGTCTTCGTGAACAAGATAAGAATCAAAATTGTAAACTATCAAATACAATTGTTCTTATAAAAAAAATCAATTTAATTTTACTATGCATATTTTTCAATCTTTCCCAAACTAACTAACTTAGATAATAAGACTAGTGCATATCCCATGCTATGCACGGTAAACAATATTAAATAACAAATATAAAGGGTAAACAACATTCACTAATAATTATAAATTGAAGATGTGGAGTTAATATATGATATCATTTATCGTATATATAAAATTATCTTGTATAAAAGAATTTAGGAAAACGTATATTTAAAATATTAGAAACACCTAAAATATCATATAACATGGGAAAAAGTATCTAAAATTTTAATTATCATTATTGAAAGATTGAAGTCACTTAAATTTTTTTCTAAAATATTTTGTAAAGAAAATATGTTTAAAATTATTTAAAAAGATGTGAAGTCATCTAAATATTCTATATTATTTTTTCATGAAAACATGTCTAACAATATTTAAATTTAACATATATATGTATACGTGTATATGTAAATGTACATATAGATAGAATATGTAAAAAATTATCTAAATAATTTGTAAATGTATATACAGATTGAATGTGTAAATAATTGTCTAAATAATATGTTTAAGAGTATATAAAATATCGAGAATTATGACATAACTTCTTTCTTGAGTACAAATTTCCAAAAATTAGTTTTTTTTTTTTTAATTGAGTACAAAAAGATTTCAAAAATTAGTTTTTTTTTTTTTAAGTCATTGTAACTTGATTTATCAACTTTACAAATAAGATTAATGCAAACCTACGTATTATAAAACATATTTTATAAGAAATAAAATGGTATTTTATTTCTAAGATTAAGATTAAGTATGTATTTAATGTTTTTTGGTGGAAATTATTTATAAATCTTATTCTCTTTTCATATGACATATGCAAAAGTATCTGAAATGTTCTATTTTATTTTTGAAATATGTGTGAAATCACCTAAAAGTATCCTAAACTATTTTGTAAGGAAAACACATTTCAATCTAGAGAATGTGTAAAAAAATTGTCTAAATATTTTTAAAAGTATTATATGTGTTAATAATATTACAATCGAAAAAACATCAAGAATACCTAGACTATTATATAATGTATATGATTTAGAAATAAATCTCACGCGTAGGTAACAAATTCGTGAATTTTAATTTATATAAATATCATATTAAACAAACCACATTTCTATACATGGCTCTTTGGATTAGGTACCAGAATTTTGCAAGTTTAAAAAATAACTATCAGATTGGTTGATTTTAGGTTATCATTCTGTATTTGGCAGGTGATATTGAAACTCTTTTATGCGTTGTATTTTTTTATATTATTTTATTTGTGTATCTATCCATTATCCATTAAAATAAGATACGATTACTGGGCAATTTTTTTAGATGTGTTCCGATTTATGCGTGTATCTCTCCATCAATCGGTTTTGCCAAAAATGAGACTGACCGATTTTTGTACCATAAAAAAGGTAACAAATTCCACCCTGATTTTATTAAGAAAAAAAAAGTACTATAAATAGTATGTAATAAATGTTGAACAGATTTGACCAAGATTTGACTTACTGTTTTTTTTTTTAAAAAGGTTATTCTAATTATATATATATATATAGATTTCTCAATCATAATTTTCATGCAATGTTAAATATTATAATTTTTAAAATCGTATTCCAACTTCCAATATATTTGACACACTTGAGTATGTAATGTACTTTTTTTTATTTGATTATTTGAAAATAATAATGCAAAAAATTTAATAATATATAAAAGATAAAATATAATTGAAAATCAAATTAAAATATAAATTATATACTGCATGCATGCACGTACCCTTAACTAACACATTTAAATTTAAAAGGTCTAAATGCCACAAATAATTTAGAACAATGATGTTGGCATCCTTATCAATCAAGGAATTCCAACTAAATGGGCAAGTCTAGCAAGAGGTCAACCCAATGTGCATATTCCATAAATCATAACCAACAAATTCCATTTGAAAACAACAATCAGCAAAACATCGCAACAAAACTGATATCTCAACTTAGGAAACTGGCCAATTTGTGAAAAGAAAAACAATATATAGATTTAAATTTCAATCTTGAGCAGGCGACTCGGCCATCCTCACAGTACGAGGAAGCATAAACTCGGCAAATATTGGGTAATGAGATGAAGGGTAATAACCATCGACATTATCACTCACGACTTCACACAAGACGGGGATCAATGATCGGCCCCTGTAAAGAATCCAGTCCACGTGCAGATCCTGAGTTTGCCGATCCCAGCAAAGGCAAAGTGCTCTAAATATCAATTTCAAGAATTCGACAGTACCTTGTTTATCACCTGACCACAAATGATATTTAACAAATTTATTAAAATGAGATAAGTTGCTATGATTGAAAAATGAACAGAAAATGTCCCCACGTGAATCAGTTGGGGCGGTAACAATCTTGGTGAGACATGAGGAGCATGAAGAACCACTTTGAGAAACCAAAAATTAAATAAATAAATCAGAGCCTCAATCCCGTGTGAATGGAAAAGCAATTTTTTTTCTTGAGCTATAAAAGACGAAAAGCACTGATTGAACGTATAGATATACCTTTAAAGCCATGGTAAGTTCGGATCAAAGGAACATTTTTCCTTACACGAGCACTGGGCCAAGCGTCCCTCATATCACCTACCACGCCGTGTTCCCTGTAAACGTAAAATGGAGTCAATTAAGGCTATTCCCAGTGCATTGCTAATAAAAAACACTATCCATGATTGTCCAATAATCATATGAATAGACAGTACTACAGTGCGTGCATACTGTATGCTTGGCTTGGAAGTTCAAATGAATTTACAAAACCCCAAGAAGACATTTTAACATTTTTTGGTACCCACTGTTAAAAAAAAAAAAAAAAAAAAAAAAAATGTCATTTTTACAACATCAGCCTTTCCCAACTTCCACCTTCAAATAAAAAAAGTGCTCGAGTGGAGAGAATCGTGTAAAACTGGATGTTGGAATAATGGACTTCGTATCAACACACTTAGATATAATTTAAACCCCAACACTTGAACATATATAAAGCAGAAAGCAGCATGATCGTGAAGTTACAGTTCAGGTTTCAAGTTCTTTTAACTGGTGGGATGAGCCAATTGCTTGTGCCCACTGAAAACTGTAGCAATGGAACTTATAAAAGGAATAAATAAATGAATTGGACATGCCAAATACCAGAGACAGTGCAACGGGAACACCTTATAACATATCATTGATAGTCCTTTCCAGCCAAATCTAAATATGACTATATTCTAACATACTTAACAGAAATTACTCGACATAACTACACTAACAACATGAACAAACTGAAATTAATACCTCGATCTTCCAAGAAGAAAACGTCCAGCAGTCGATTCCTTCTGCGTGTTGAAACCTCCGCAGTACAGTACGGGCAAGTTTGGAGGCAACGAAGCAATGTGCTGCCAGGTCAGCAGGGCCCCACGCCTACGGGCACGAGGACTGAACTCATCCATGTTCGTGTTGACTATCTGAAATGAAAAGCCTGGTGGCTCAACACCTTTTAGCTGGAATGTGTACACAACTCGTCAAGGTAAATAAACAGCCGTGTCCAGATCATAATTTATAACATAGCACCAAAAAA